GCAGAGGTGTGTAAATCACAACAGTGGCTGAACAGAATATCAGATCCTTTGGCAAGTGTTGTGTATTTAGATGCCTTGCTGGAGTTGCACTTTAAAAAAGTCATGGTTTCATTGTCTAATGTCAAGAGCTAATAAGTATGGAACAGCAGAAAGCCGCTTTCATAAATAGCTCTGTGTTTAAGGTGATGTCAGACAGGAATTACCTGCAGTTCTTTTCTTTAGCTCAGCATGGCAATGAATGGGTATTGCTCTCCCCCAGTTTACAGGTGTGGGGGAGAGATCAGCGACTAAAACTGCTGCATGCCAGTTTTTTAACCAGTTGATTGCGGAGAAAACCAAGAAAAATGATGTTATTTCAGGCTAATTTAATGTCCTGTCACTGGTCCAAAGCAGTTGAGCGCACCTTTTTTCTTCCGAATTGTTCATCCTACAATAAAGAGAAGAATATTTATTCACGGATGGCATGTTTTCCATGGAAGCGGTCTTTAACCGTTAAACCGTCTCCCATCATCTAAACTTGCCACCTGCCGGATAATTTCATTGGCTAACCTTGCAGAAGGAAAACCTGTCTACCTGTGCTGTATTATGTCATATATGCCTCAATCTGCTATTGTTCATTCTCTTCCTCCCATCTGTTAGAATGAGAGAGAATCCTAAAGCAAGATTGTTTCTTTCTTTTTCATTACATACGTTAAATCCAGGCTTGTTTCAAGATTCTTTACATTGGAATGTAGTTTATAATACAGGGAAGGTTCTGACCTTATTAAATGCTGGTTGTTAAATAAGTAGCGGAATCCTCAGAAGTGATTCTAATTTAAAATCATTTATATAGGATTGGAGGTTTGTGTTATACTTGACACCTAGGGAAATTTTTTTCCCCTGCTAGAGAACAGTCTGGGAAATCCAAAGTGTGGAGTGCATGATGTAACGTCAGCTGTACAGTGTTCACCAATATGTATATTTCAGCTTCTTGATATATTTGGGAGAGTTAAGGTTAGGTTCACACCTATGCAGGTTGCGTTTGAGCATTTTCTGCACTGCGTTTTGCGTTGCATTTTGTGTTTTTTTTTTTTTTTTTGCAGCTTTTTTTATGCGTTTAACAGGATTTTTTAATTTTTTTTAAACATTTTTCTTGTTGCTTAAAATGCAGCAAAAACGCGTTATTTGCTTTTCTGCAGCGTTTCTATTGAAGTCTATGTAACCAAAAACGTGACTTTTTGCATTAAAAAAAAAAATGCCCCTGACCCTTTTAAAAAAAACACACCGGGTGAAAATGCGAACATGTCCCATAGGAAATCATATTAAATGTACTGTACTGCCCTTGTGCAAAACGCCAAACACTGCAGAAAACACTTGGGTGTGAATCTGGGGTAAAGAAGAATTCCAAGTGTGGATATTTAAGGTCTCATGCACACAGGACTCTATTTTTTTTTTTTATAGCTCTCCTGTAAGCCAGCAGTGTTTTTGCAGGGAAAAAAAAAGCACCTGGCGCTTACACTTTTACAAGCATTTATAGGTGTCAAGTGCCTGGGCATTAATTCATTTTATTGGCCAGAATAAATAATGTATGCACATTTAGGCACGTCAGGCTTTTTTTCGGCCCAAACGCTGCTGCTCCTGGTGCACTGGCAGAGGGTTTTTTCCTGCCTCTAAATTCTCCTGCCAGTTTCAAAAGCATCTAGTGTGCATGAGGCCTGCACCAATGTAACTATGCATATACTATACCTGGCTGAACCCACTGGAAGCTGGAAATCACTGTACTAGACACCACTACTCCGGTGATCTCCAGTTGCTTTCGGCTGGCCTGTTGCATTCTGAACACTGGAGGTTGGCCTCGTGGCACAGGTGTCATCCAGAAAATGCTTTGCATGCTCTGAATGAATACAAAGCGTTTTGTGACTGGATGAGGTGGAAAGGTGGGGCAGTGATGTCACATTTTCCACCTCCTCCAGTCAGAACACTTTTAAATTCTTCAGAACATGCAAGCAATCTCTGAATCATGCCCACACCGAGTGGTTCGGAGCACAGGGTCCAGAAGCAAATGGCGATCACTGGAGTAGCAGTTTCTACATCAGGGATTTTCGGCTTCCAGGGCCATCGGCCAGGAATAACATATACATAGTTTTATTGTTCCAAGCTGAATCAATGTAACTTTGTATAAAATATCCATACCTGGAATTCTTCTTTAAAGCGGAGCTCCACCCAAAAGGGTAAAAAAATCTGGTCCCCCGCTCCCCATTTAGGATTTAGGGAGCAGGTACCTGAAATTGACAGGTACCCGCCCCCATCTCTGCTGCCATCGACTGGGCAATTGGAAGCAGAAGTTATCCCCCCCTTCCCCTCCATAGTCTGCTGGAATACATGACAGGTCCCAGAAGACTGCCAGACCATTCAGCGCTACTCGCGCATGCGCAGTGGGCAAGCTGTGGCAGCCAGGTGCCCACACTGAAGATGCCGGCGCCGAGAACATCTGACAGCCGGTGATAGGCTGAGGGGAGGACACCACGGGATCGAGGGAAAGGTGAGTGGCTGTTTTAAAGTCAGGATCTACAGTTTTTGTAGCTGCTGTTTTTTTATGTTTTTACAGCGGGACTAGGACTCTGCTTTAAATCAGATCTAAATCATAACTGATTGACATGTAATTTAATAAAACCTCATATTTGCTTTTTTTTTTTCTTCCATAAAATGCTTTGCCTTTTTTCAACGTGGTTTTTTTTTTTTTTATATATTTTTTATTTTAATTACTGCTGCTGATCTCCTTTAGCCTTGGTGGCCGTTTCCTGTCTACATTCGGTTGTGTCTACATTGACTGCACATGATTGCTCTGGACTGATCTTCTAATAGTGACAACAGTAGACTGCCTGAGCAATATGTGTTGGCATGCCTCCTTGTTGTCTCAACTGGAAGTGCAAATGACAGTTGACAATGCAGGAGCATCATTGGGATAATAGTTTATCATCCTATAACAGGTAGTGCCTGAACAAGGACCTTCACAACAGGCTCACCAGCTATTTTAATGAAAGCTGCATGTTAATCACTTTAATACCTGGCATTTTTACTGCCCAGACCAATTTTCACCTTTCAGCGCTCTCGCACTTTCGATAATTGTGTGGTCATGCAACACTGTACCCCAACTAAGTTTTTATCATTTTGTTCACACAACTAGAGCTTTTTTTGGTGGTATTTAATCACCACTGGTTTTTAAATTTTTTTCTTTACCCTAGTAACATTTTACTACTCTGGGAAAGTGAGCAGTATTTTTTTTTTTTCTACACATTAGGATTGCTTATAGCAAATAATTTCATTGCTATAAGCAAGCATTTAACTGAATGATATTGATTCATTCAGGTTTTTTTTTTTTTGTGATTAGCTCTGATTGGCCACAACTAATCACATGACACCGATGGGCTGTGATTGTCCCAGTCTGTACCATGTGATTACTGTGACCAATAACAGCTAGATATACAATTGTATACCATGGATGACATGAAAGGAAGCCATCTGTTGTTCACAATTGTCATGCAACTTGCTGTGATTGGCCACAGTCCACTGGCAATGGCCGGTACACAAACCTGTCATCTGCTGTGTCCAAGGGACACAACCAATGACAGATCTCGCCACAGTTCGGCCCCATGGGATTGACAAAAGTCCTGCTCAGCCATCATTTTGCTATTGGCCAGACAGGAACTGGTTAAAAAAGATTGAAAACAACTTGTGTAATTAGCATGTTAAAGCTTATATAACAATTTAGTGTGATGGTTTGGATCTCCTTTGTTTAAATATTTTATGCGATTAGAATATAACCTACCTGCTGAAGTAATCTAGCAGTACTTTCCTCTTGTCTATTCCCAAATTCACCCAATGCAGGCTCTTTGTTATTTGTCACATTCCTGGTTGAAGCCAGTATCTGCACATTGGGGTGCTGGGTTTTAAGGATCCAAGGGCATTCTAGAAAATCATGGTGGCAATGTGAAAAGGTGCTTGCTATTGCATCATACAGGCAGCTTACGATCTACCCATTTGCTGTATTGATGATAAATACCAACTTTGCTGTCCACGTTCATTTATAAGCAAACTAAAACCTGTACAAATCATTAGTAAGACCTCATCTGGAATATGTAGTTCAGTTTTGGGCACCGATTCACAAAAAAGATATCTGGGAACTGGAGAAAGTACAGAAAAGGTCAACCAAACTGATAAGAGGCATGGAGGAGCTCAACTATGAGGATAGATTAACTGAATCAAATTTATTCTACCTTGAAAAGGGGGGGGGGGGGGAGTGTGATCAGCATGGGAGCCATTCAGAGAATGCTTTGCATTTTCTCAATGAATGCAAAGTGGGCTCTGATTGCAAGGAGGTGGTGGAAATTGTGAAATCACAGCGCCCACCTCTTCACCACATTCAATCAGAGAACACTTTGCATAGATTGACTGATTCATTTTGCTCAGGTCATTTTTATGTGCGGGACGTTCTGGTGACCCACCATTGGTGAATTCTCATCAGCAAAGTTCTAATCCTAGAGTGCATGTTTTGCCTATTTCCACCTATAGACATACCGGATTTAAATGATATACAATGGAGGAGGTTTTGAACATTCTCATTTAACTAGGTGATGGTTTTGCTAGTAGTGGGGAATTCCATTCAACTCTGTACAGAACAAGTCCAGTTGAGTAACTTTTTCCAGCCTTGCAAGAGAAACACTCTTCTTTTTCCAGTAGGGCAAAAAAAATTTATCCTGCTCTCAAGGAAGACTGAACTCTGCAGAAAAACTTCAGTAAACTCCATTTCATGGGCTGAGACTGCACAGTCATAAAAGCAAGACCTAAGAAAAAAAGTGTTCACACATTTATTTGCCCCCCTTTAGGTTTCCAGATACATGCAGATAGCTGAAATTATTGGTATCTTTATTGTTTGTTCCGTTTGTAGGCTATTTCTGAAATAATATGCTTTTTCATTTTAGGATTTCTTCGGTTGAACCTGCTCCTAAAATCTCTGGAACATGGCTCCGCGGAAGAGAAGTAATCGAGGGATCTCCTTTATTTTCTGCTGTTTTCGGAGTAATGAGCATCCAGAGATTACGTATCGATTAAGAAATGACAGCAACTTTGCCCTGCAGTCAATGGAGCCGGCATTGCCCGTCCCTCCGATCGAGGAGCTTGATGCTATGTTTGCAGAGCTGGTGGTGGTAAGTGGACCTTTTCGTTATGTACTCTACATTTTTTACGATTCATATAACTGGTCAGAACAAAGTGAGATGTCTTCATCTGCATGCTTGTTCCAGGTATGTGTTTGAAAGCATGGAAGCCAGAGGGCCAGTTTGAGGTCTTTTAACTTTCAGTTCCAGAAAGAGTGGAAATGGCAACCTCCATGTTCCTCTCATGACAAATTTCCTTTAACCACTTCCAGTCCGGACACTTTCACTCCCTTTCTGTCTGGGCCAATTTTCAGCTTTCAGCGCTGTCACGCTTTGAATGACAATTGCGTGGTCATGCAACACTGTACCCATATGAATTTTTTAAACATTTTTTTTGAGACCGATAAAACTTTATTTTGGTGGTATTTATTCACCACTGGGATTTTTATTTTTTTTTGCTATATAAATGAAAAAGTCCAAAAATGTAAAAAAAAAAAAAAAAGTGTTTTTCTTACACATTTTTGCAAATAAATAATTTTTCTTCATAAATCTTGGCCAACATTCAGTTATCTTTTTAGTAAAAAAAATAACCCAAATTAGTTTATAACCAAAAATTATAATTTTTCAAACATGTTTTTACATTTTTATTTTATTTTTTTATATTAATGTTTTTTTTAACATACTGTCACCCTAGCAATACAGTGTCACCATAGTGACACTGGACTACTTGTAGGGGGTGATGATGATTTTTTTTCTTTTTTAACACTTGATTGCTTTTACACCCATAAAGGCTGTAAAAGCAATCATTTCTCCTTCTCTCTGGCTGCATTCTTGCATCCATTGAGAAATACTGTCAGAGCTGTGATTGGTCACAGCTTGTCACATGGTACAAGGCTGTTTTGAATAGCCTTGTATCATGTGATCATTCACAGATTTCACACATAGTAAGCAATGATGGCAGCAAGTGACATCTTGCTTACTACTATTCATGTGATCACTGATTGGCCAATCAGTGATCACATGATCGGGACCTCACACAGTGGTCTTGTACAGTGATCGGTGTTCCGCTGTGTCCAGAGGACCCAGCGGGCACCGGATTGCGGTGCTGCGCGCTCCCAAGGAGCGCACACAGTCCAAAATGGCGGGCGCCATTTATGAACGGCAACCCGCTCCTGCACTGCCCCTGTCTGACCGTTTTATATACATGGGCTAGATGGGAAGTGGTTAAGGTTGTTCAGTTTTTTGTCCAGGTATAGTTCGCATGCACCAGTTCACCTTGTATTGATGAGCTGGGAACACCTTTGCCTTTGCTCTTTGTAATACAGAATAGCTATTCACAAACACACCCACTGGGTATCAGTTTATCACAGCTACCAAACATGCACGTAGGTCTTGCAAGTGTCAATCTGATTGGTAATTTGTCATGCAGATAGACAAGAGAATAAAATGAAGGTTCTTACAGCCACCAATCATTACTCTGACCCATTTTGGAAATTACAAATCCTATAGCACAGACCAGTTCACCTTTTCCACAGTTGAGAGACTCTCTGGAAACTGGCTGCAGCAGATAAAACAGAACTCAAATTAATAGCCCTTGTGCAGCCTTGCTTGCTGGATAATGTTAGTAATGTTTTGAAAAAGTGCAGTTCTGATCCTCTAAAAAATGTATGCCCGTGTCGAAATGTTCCCTATGTAGCTGATCATTGAACTAACCGCTGATTGTGTGCTGCACCCTGAAGCATTTGAAGTATTCTTTATCATACCAAGCTTTTTCACATTGTTTGTAAACCCTTTATGAGCATATTTATTTATTACAGGTACTGTATATATAGTGCCAAATATATTGCATTTTGACATCAGTTTTTACCCTCAAGGAACTTACAGTCTAGGGTCCAAATGCATACACACAGAGGGTAATATAATACCCGCGAATTTCGACCAACCAAGCCTTCTTTTCTGTAGTAGCAACATGAGGTGAAATTGAATTTTCGTGGCCAAGAATTTTCTTTTCCTTTCGGAGTTTGACCTATGTATGGCTGGCTTTAATTGCTGAATTTACTTGTTTTGGTTTCTTTGTATGTATAGATTGCTTGGGTTGTTGTCTACATGTGGTGAAAATCTCACGTCAACAGCACCTTTAGAAATATATTTTTTGTTTCACAGAAATCAGGAGCACCTAATCATGGCCAGTTTATGGTGCAATGATGTTCTTTTCACTTCCGGATTATGGCCCCAATATTGCTCACTGGAACATTCAGAAGTTTAGAAATCCCTCCGTAGCCATTGCCATCAATATGTTTTGCAACAATAAGGTTGCAAAGTTTGTGAGAGAGTTCTTTGCTTTTACCCATTTCTTGTGTGACACCTTGGTAATGAGACACCATTTTATACTCCATCAATTGAGACCGAACCAGCTGATAGTAATTTGCACTGACAAGGCGCAGGATTGCTTTCTAATTACTGATAGATTTCAGCTGGTGTCTTGGCTTTTTGCACCTCCCTTTCTTTGTGTTCAATACTTTTTCCCTGTGTTATTCAATTTTATTACACATAACTTCATTTCTGAATGTATTTGTTTTGGTTTCTTTGTATGTATAGATTGCATGTGTTGTTACTGACGTGGTGAAAATGTTATATCAATAGCACCTTTGGAAATATATTTACTAAGAATAATGGTGACGTGTTCAATACTTCTTTTTTTCTTTTTTTTTTTTTTTTTATCCGCTGTACATATGCTAGGGCCAATTAACATACCAGCATGTCTTTGGTGTGTGGGAAGAAACTGGAGTGCTCAGAGGAAACCCACACAAGTGCAGGGAGAACATGCCAACTCCATGCCAGTACTGTCCTGAGTGGGATTTAAACTGATGCCCCTAGTACTGATGCTCTTTGCATTCCTTTAAAGAAAAGGAAACAAAATCTATACAGTACATGTACTACACTGCTCAAAAAAATTAAAGGAACACTTTGAAAACACATCAGATCTCAATGGGGAAAAATATCATGCTGGATATCTATACTGATATGGACTGGGTAATGTGTTAGGAATGTAAGGATGTCCCATCGTTTGATGGAAATGAAAATTACCAACCTACAGAGGACTGAATTCAAAGACACCCTAAAAAATCAAAGTGAAAAAATGATGCAGTAGGCTAGTCCATTTTGCTGTGTTTTCATTGCAGTAACTCAAAATGGTCCCCAGTAGTTTGTATGGCCCCCACGTGCTTGTATGCATGCCTTACAATGTCAGGGCATGCTCCTAATGAGATGTCGAATGGTGTCCTGGGGCATTTCCTCCAAGATCTGGACCAGGGCATCACTGAGCTCCTGGACAGTCTGAGGTGCAACCTGGCAGTGTCGGATTGACTGAAACATGATTGTCATTCACCAGGAGGAATCCAGGACTCACTGCACCAGCGTAGGGTCTGACAATGGGTCCAAGGATTTCATCCCGATACCTAATGACAGTCAGGGTGCAATTGTCTAGCCTGTAGAGATCTGTACGTCCCTCCATGGATATGCCTCCCCAGACCATCACTTACCCACCACCAAAGTGGTCATGCTGAATGATGTTACAGGCAACACAATGTTCTCCACGGCTTCTCGAGACCCTTTCACGTTTGTCACATGTGCTTAGGGGGAACTTGCTCTCATCTGTGAAAATCACAGGGCACCAGTGGTACACCTGCCAATTCTGATGTTCAATGGAAAATGCCAATCAAGCTCTATGGTGCCGGGCTGTGAGCACATGACCCACTAGAGGTTATCGGGCCCTCAGGCCACCCTCATGAAGTCTGTTTCTAATTGTTTGGTCAGAGACATTCACACCAGTGGCCTGCTGGAGGTCATTTTGTAGGACTCTGGCAGTGCTTATCCTGTTCCTTCTTGCACAAAGGAGCAGATACTGGTTCTGCTGATGGGTTAAGGAAACCCCCTCTGCTACGTAACTGTCCAGATCAATATCCCTGAAGTTTAATTTACTTGGTGCTATACTCTGATTAAATAGTGTTCCTTTTAATTTTTTTGAGCAGTGTACTTTTTTCTGGTTGTGGTGTTTAATTCCAGCAGGTTCTAGTGTAGCTGAGAAGGATGCCTCACTGCCCTTCACTTCCTGGTGAGACATCTGCCCATCAGTAACCTCTGACTCAAGATCCAGCAGGATATATTAAGTGAGACTGTCTTGCAAATGATTGTTTGGACTCTGGGATCCTGAATACAGATGACGTTTATACAGCTTTCCTGGCCACAATGAGTAACGTGGTGCTGCATCCTGTAATATTACCCCACAGCACAGCCTCTTATTTGCATTGCAAGAAAGCACCAGTATGCCGAGTCATTTTTACCAGTATGCTTCTATGTTTGCTTAACATTTGCATGTCCTTTTTATTTACCTTCATGGTATATTTTTAGCTTGTGATGTAGTTGCCTCACATGTAGATGCCAATTAGTGACTTGATAATGGATAATGCTTCTGTAGCTAGGAATGAGCGTGCACAGATATCATGGTATGAAGAGGAGTAAAGTGAGGCATTATATGTGATCTATATTGATCCAATAAATTGGCCACACGTTAGTCTGATTGAGCAATCTCTGTACAATGACCTTTATCTTTGCAAAAAGTTTATAATATGAAGGACTCCCTAAACAACCTGCTCATTTCATATATTGTTGGTTGTGGATCTAAAGGAGGTTTTAAATTTGGATTCTATTATTCATAGTCAGCCAAGAAGTCTTAATGTTTTTTTTTTTTTTTGAGTGTAGGTTAGAAAATTAAATCATCTGATTGGCTGGATGTCCTTTTTTTGAGTGTAGGTTAGAAAATTAAATCATCTGATTGGCTGGTATATTGAAGACTTATGTCTCTTTAACCAATTCAAGTCCGGACACTTTCACCCCCTTCCTGTCCAGGCCAATTTTCAGCTTTCAGCGCTATCACACTTTGGATGATAATTGCGCGGTCATGCATTTTTAGCATTTGTTTGAGACCGATAAATCTTTATTTTAGTGGTATTCACCACTGGGATTTTTATTTTTTTGCTATATAAATGAAAAAATCCAAACATTTTGAAAAAAAAAAGTGTTTTTTCTTATAAAATGTTGCAAATAATCTTTCTTCATAAATCTTGGGCAAAATGTACTAATCTATCTTTTTAGTAAAAAAAAAAAATAACCCAAATTAGTTTATAACCAAAAATTATAATTTTTCAAAACTTTTTTGACATTTTTATTTCTCCTTCTCTCTGGCTGCATTCTTCCAGCCATTGAGAAATGCTGTGCGAGCTTTGATTGGTCAAAACTTGTCACATGGTACAAGGCTGTTGTGAATAGCCCTATACCATGTGACCTCTGTGATCATTTACAGATTTCACATGTAGTAAGCAACGATGTCAGAAGTGACATGTTGCTTACTACTATTCATGTGATCACTGATTGACCAATCGGTGATCACATGATCGGGACCTCACACAGAGGTCCCATACAGCGATCGGTGTTCCGCTGTGATATAGCGGGCACCGGATCGCAGTGCCGTGCGCTCCCAGGGAGTGCGCACAGGCGGGGAGGACATTTATAAACAGCCACCCGCTCCTGCAATGCTCCAATCTGGCCGTTTGTATACATGGGTTGAACGGGAAGTGGTTAATGCATCATTTAGTAATTGTGTATTCAAAAACATTTTTCCATTCATTCTGGTTTTCATGAAAAATCCCTTTAACGTTCAATGTATGAATTGCCACTCTTGTTAAATGCCACTTGGCAATCATCACCCTTATATCAGGTATGGATGGTCCAATTATTTGACTGGTACTGTGATGTGAGCCTTCTGTGAGAGATTTTCAGTGTTGAGTTGAATGACAAATAGAAACAAGCGTTTTCTGAAGGCAAATCTGTCTGAGGACAGCTGCAAGTATGCTGAAAATTATCTGTAAATTAAGAATTAAGTTGTTCTATATTTGAACTGCCATTATAACTGCCAATTTAACTGATTGAAAACTGGCCACGTGCTGTACTGTCAGCTTTTGCTAAGATTTGTTTTGTTTAAGCTGCAGACTTTGTGCTTGTTCTAAGCACCACCTGATTTGATAAAATAATAGTTGGGTTGTTTAAAAAGACCCTCACACTTTGTAGTTGATAAAGCTTAAAAGAGAAGTATGTAAATTTAAAAAAAAAAAAATACATACATACTCACTTGGATACTCACATACTCGGGTGGAGACAGCATCGTTCCCCCACCACCTCTAAAACCGAGAACTGAGCAATTAAAGACAGCTGATCCTTCAGTTCTCGGTCTTCAGTGAGCAGAGAGCTAGTGACTGGCTCTCTGCTCTGACCCTCCAGCACTGCCAGGCTGTGGAGGGAACCGAAGCTGCTGGTTTAGGTACTCTGCAGCGTGCTGTGAGGATGAGCCAGCTGCCGATCAGGAATCTATGTGGATCCCAACATTAAAGTCGGGATCTCTCCAGAACCTAGACCGCCTATCTGACGTCAGCTGACAGTGGGCTTTAGCTTGCTATTGACTAAATGCGGGTCGAAGGAGTGCAAAACTAAGAACTTCTCCTTTAAAGCAAACCTGTGATTTAATGCCTCTCCTCTAGCAGCAAGTCTTGCAATTTCACACCTCACAAAATAATAAAAAATGCTCATGGAAAGATGTAAAAAAAATTTGAAAAAAACCCTGAAAAACCTTACCCCCCCCCAAATTTTCAGAATGCTTGTCTTGGTGAGCACAGCATGATGCATAAGATCCTGGGATTGCTGTGGATCCCATATCCTATAAAAATGTACTTTTACACAGTGCAGGAGCATCTTCCCCTGAGATTCAGCATCCTGAGCTTTCCCAGGTTCCTGTGGTGAGGCCCAGTGATGTCACAAGTGTTTAGAGTACGTGAACAGAGTCCGTGGTGGTTTTTTATTTCTTATTTTACATTTTTCTTCAAAAATGGCTTTCACTGTTTTTTTTTTGTTTTTTTTGGGGTTTGGGAACCAGCAAGATAAATGGACCTTGCATTTTCATGCAGTCCACTTTTAGTAGATGTGCTATCAAACTCACTCGTGGTCAGTAGTCACAGATCTGAGACAATTTTTTTTTGTCGAATGTCTTTTAACTAAATGAAGATGTGCCACCAAAGAAAGGTGGAGATGGTGACGTTGGGACTCATGTGAACATACCTTAAGGTGCCAGTTCAGGACTGTATCTGTAAAGCCATTTATCTGAAGTGGAGCGGCGGCCATTTTAGAGAGTGGAAGTAAGACTGTTTGCAGCGGTTTGGACTCTCCTGGACGTACGGCATGCAGGTTTTTCACACTTTTAAAACATGCGATGAGAAAGATTTTATATTGTAAGCAGCACCAATAAAATTTGTGATTTGAATGTGTGGCGGTATTACACTATATATCTCTTTATGTGTGTATATATATATCGTTATCGGGATGGCGGTTATGATGAAATTGGTCTGAGGAAATAGTGTGGATGGATCCACATTGAATTATGAGGAGGTGAAAGTGAGGATACTGGCAGAATAATACTCGTTTACTCGTCCCATCATACAGCCTACTTGGGGATGTTTATCTAAAGCCTTAAATGATAAACACATTGGTAAGGGTATTCACTCTTTACTGCAGTAGACGTGATTTATGTGTGTGTTATAAACACTTTAAAGAGTGATTCACCTACACAGCTTTTCACTATACATAGTGTATTGGCACACGTTTGCTGTTTACACGTTTTTGTTTCACTTTTGGTGAATTATCACTGGATGAGTTATATGATATTAATATATTAAGGATAATGCACTATGTGGTTTCTATTTCTGTTTTTTTGAGGTTAATCAAGCTTACACAAAACTTTGAAGAATTTATCACTATTCTTGGACAATTTTTTTTTTTTTTTTTTTTTTTTTTTTGGACTTAATTTTTGTTTGAAGGGGACTTTGATTTTATAAATTTTTGGATTTTTGGATACAGGACTTTATGTTTGTTATTATTTGGGGAATAAGAATATTATTTATTATTTATTATTATCACTAAGCATATTATTTGTATAAAGGTGATATATTGTAACCGAGAAGTACTGTGGGGATTTATCTCTTTCTTTTGAGCATCGATTTTATAATGCAAAGTATATTGGATTCAATTAATTCAACCTGGGAAGTGAGAAAAAAGAGGGAATTGAAGTGGAGGAGAAAGCGCTTCCTCCAGGGGAAAGAAGAGCGGAGTGATATCTCATGTGACCTGCGTCTTAAAAGGGAAGGCACATCTTGACCTATTATAATTTGTAGGTCAAAGAGTGGAGGTGGTGGCATATGATGTTCACTTCTCACGTTTGAAGTATTATTGAACAAGGGAATTTGTTTTAAATTAGAAGCACAGAAAAAACACACGAGAGAGAGAATATATATATATTATCTGTGTGTGTATATATATATATATATATATATATATATATATATGTACATATATATATATTTCATGTTTTTTGCAAAAAATAGCAAATGAGAATGTCGGAATCACATTAGAGACTGGTGATATCTTGTTTTATTGAGTTATTTGATTTTTTTGGACATTTGTTTTTTTGTGGATATTGTCATAGTTGCAATAACATTGTTTTGTTTTGTTTTTTTGTTTGTTTTTTGGCACCACATATTCATTTAGTTAAAGACATTAACCAGCACAACACTATTTAATATACTGTATACAAAATCCTATGGTAAAAAGTGCATGGAACACATTTGAAGTTTTAGCAGCAGTTTGAGTAAGAGACACGGTGATATAAAACTATACAGTACCTTTGCACAGATTCTTTCAGTTTACTGACAGTTTACTGAACTCCAGATATTCCCATTTGCTGTACATCAGTAACTTACACCCTGGTCACATGAAAGCCGATTTTGAAATCGTGCAACTTACAGTGAAGTCGTTCGATTTCAAAGTCAGGTGACTTGCCGATTTGAGGTGCGATTTGCAAGACATCTGACACAGATGTCTATGCAAATTGCACCAAAAGTAGTGCATGCACTACTTTAGAAATCAACCAAGTCGGAATCGCACTGATATGACTGCTCTAATAGCGGACAAATGGGTGCGACTTGGCATACAATTTGCAAGTCACATGGCATGCAAATCGCATGCCAGGTCGCACGGAATGTCTCTGGGGTGTTAGAGTATGAAACCAGAGGAAGTCAGCCTAACGACATTTCAGATATAGGTCTGCATTGACAGCTTTAGGGCAAGTTTGGTCAGACTAATATAAAGCACAACTATGTGCACTGTTTGCCCAGGGTTCTTGCCACAATGTGCATGTATGCAGCATACTCGTACATTATGGCAGATTTGCATCCCAATGGACCCTTCTCCACTGATGTATTGTCTGCACTCAATCTCATCCCTCTATCACCACTGCTACTTCTTCTCTTGTTCTTCCAGGTCTTGAATCTCAGTCAGTCTTCTCCATTGACTGGCAAAGAATGAGTTGCCTCCTACATATGCCCTTGGGAGTTCCTTCATCCTGACACTCAGCTCTGACAGTAGTGTACTTAATTGTATATGCACGTCAGCTTGCGTGCTTTTAAAATATTGAAAGCAGGAAGGGTAAAAGATTTAATGGCAGTAGAGACCTACAGAATCAAAGTTTAAAGTATTTTTAGGAGCACGGAACTCTATTGATTGTATATTACGTGGTCATAGATTGAGTCCTTAGAGCAGGGTTTGTTAGCTAGGGTTCCTCCAGAGGTTGCTAGGGATTTCCTTGAGCAATGAGCAATTGCTGCCTTTCCAATAAATTCAAACTGATACCATTGATCTTTTCAGCTCACTGAAAGGGGGATGTTCTTCCCAATGGCCTTCAGTGTAAGAAGGATTCTTCCCACTGATCATCACCGAATGTATCATGAGTTGTAGATTTGGTCATTTTTAGCAGGGGTTCCCCAAGACCGGAGAGTTATTTTTAAGGGTTCTTCTGTGTTGAAAAGGTTGGGAAACACTGCCTTAGCGGCCGCTCTCCAATAATGGGATTGTCAATGGGGATCTCGAAGGTTAGAAGGAAGAGAGTGCCACAAATGTTCCTCCAATGCTAACACCCCATTGTTTTACGATATTGGAATAAATGCAAAAGGAAAGCTTTATCAACCTTGTGCAGGCTATGCAAGCTCTTGGCTATAAAGGACACTCAGTTCTTAAACTTTTCATGCTGTTTTTTTTTTTTTTCGCCATCGTCTGAGAGCTCTTTCATTGTGAATATGTGTGGACATCCTCCCACCCCCCACCCCCACTGTTTA